TGAATTGTTGTTGATATTTTTATAAAATACTACGAAAAAATATATATTTCAATTTATTTTCTTCTGACAACAAAAAGTGCATAACTAAGGCCCCATATGCTCATCTTTCTTGGCAAGAGTATAATGTATTTACCTCAGAGCTATTTACCACTTTGCTCACTTTTCTTGGCATGGTCAAAATAAACGAAAATATTTATGGTTGCGATACCATGCACACCAAACTAAGTGCATCATTCATGACATGATGGCATCAGCATGACCCAACAACCTTCCTCAGGGGTGATGCGAAGGTGGCATTAAAAATATTTAAGTTCCTTACATTGAACTAGCGACAAACAAAGGCATTTAAATATTATAAAAAATCAACATACATAAAATGAACCAGTACAAGATAGACAAAAGAATTGCATGAGGCAACACGTAACATACAAAATACTTATAGCTCAACATACGCAAACTTTCATAAATCCCCCATCATAAACAGGGAACAAAATTAGGACTCCATGTCAAGGTAAAATTGAAGCATAATCATAATGTTTGCTCCCTGATAACAGACAAACTATTCAGCTACAAAATAGTCATAAGATATTCTAACAAGGTCAAAATTTTCTGAACTTGAAGGATTAACTTTTCATGGTTGTAGGCAGGATGAAGAACCTCAAAGTAGGCCCAACCAACCTAATAGGTGGGCCAAACTACACAATCTTATCAATATAAATGTTCATAGAATATTCTCCTACATTCAATTTACTATACCCAAAAAAGTAATAAGGAGTGGAATCTCTCGTTTCCCACAATAACTCTGACAGGATTTCATTCCACCTTAAAATATTGAAATGAAAAGACTGAGGATACAAACAAGTAAAATCAAATAAAATACAACATTAAAAATAACTGCGACAAGGAGAGGTCGAAGCCCCCAGTGGCCTAATGAGATGCACCATCCTATACAAAGCATTACAATACCTGATAATCTCATGGGAGGGCTTTCATCAAATTGTGAGGTTTCAAGTATATCATATATAGGTATCATCATCGTCATCAAAGATATGAGATCCCATTATGCCTTCCGGTTAATTTTTAGAAGTCAGTAGAATTATTTTATTGATATGAAAAGGGGTATAAATACCCTTATATGAATCATGAAATAGAAAAGATAAGAAAAAAATGACATGAAAGAAAAGATATAACACATATATCTCAAATTAATCTATTCACAATAATTACTTAGAGCTAAAGAAAATGACATAAAATAGGAAAGTAAATAAATTCAATCTAAGGAAATAAATCCAATACAAGGAAATAAATCCAATCACCATAACTTCTAACAAGAATAAATTATTTCCTAATATAACTTCTAGCACTCCCCCTCAAGTTGAAACATGGTCGACAACCGTGTTCAACTTGGATTTGAAAATATCAAACAATGAGCTAGGAAGATTCTTTGTGAGGTAGCACTTCAAATCTTCATCTTGTACTTGATAATCAACCACAATAGCATTTAGGGATATTTTTTAGCTGACTGTGGTTGTCATTGACTGCAATTTTTGTCGTTTCTGTAGGTAAATGGAAGACTCTTGCAAGTAATGTGGCAGGAAAATTTGCAGGAAAGTAGATAACCTACAGGAGAAGTTTATTTTTAGTTAACTGTGGTTGTCTTTGATTGTAGTTTCTGCAATGTTTGTAGGTAAGCGAAAGGCTTCTATTGGCAATGCCACAAGGAAGTTTGCAGGAAAGTAAACAACCTACAAGAAAGCTGCGGGATATGGCCTGCAAGTAAAAAAAGGAAGAACACCTACAGGGAAAGTTGCAAGATATGGCCTGCAGGTAAAAAAAGGAAGAACACCTGCAGAGAAAGTTGCAGGGTATAGGCTTACACGTAAAAAAGAAGAATACTTGGAGAGAATGCTGCAGAATATAGCCTACAAAAAAAAAACACCTGTAGAGAAAGCTGCAGGATATGGCCTGCGGGTAAAAAGAAAGAATACCAGTAGGAAAATCTGCAGGGGCAGGAAAAAAAGAAAGAACGCCGGCAGGCAAAGTTGTAAGGTATGATCCTGCAGGTAAAAAGGAATAACACCTGCAGAGAATACTACAGGGTATGACCTGCAGGTAAAAAAGGACGCCTGTAGAGAAAGCAGCAGGGAATAACCTCCGGGTAAAAAGGAAGAACACATGCATGGAAAGATGTAGAGTATGGCCTCTAGAAAAAGAAAGAATTCTTGCAGATAAGCTGGAGGGTATGGCCTGCAAAAAATAAGAATATTTGCAGAGAAAGCTGCAAGGTATGGCATGCAAGTAAAAAGGAAGAACACCTGTAGGAAAAACTACAATGTATGAACTACAGGTAAAACAGATGAACACATGCAAGGAAAGTTGCAGGGTGTGGTTAGTGTTTAATATGTCAAGCAACCATTGGCGACCACTCCTTTCATTGTTGAACAAATTGTGAAATCACAATGCTCTCCTCTAGTGCCCCGTCGTTCCAAGTTTTAGTCCTCCATGCTCGGGTTGAAGTAAAGCAGCACTCCAATGAACGTAATTCCTACATCCAGTGCTATAGACAGGATATAATTGTATCTCAGCCACCATTTCTTTCGGTACCTAAAAACAAAGAAACTGAAGACTGTTTCAACAATGATCCAAGAGTTATAGTTGAGTGGAGTGGCAGGCGGCATGTTGGTTGTAGCTCTGAAAAGAACTGGAACGTTTATAAGTGGGATCCATGATTGATAGGGAATGTTCTGTGGAAGAGCCAGCCTATCATTAAACTGACAGAGCTAATCACAAAGCACTGGTTCAAAGCGTCGTAGTTGCCGAGTGAGCCAAAGATACTCCCCGGCCCTACCAAGCCCAACACATCAAAGAAGATGCGATCGCCCGGGCAAGTTCAGGGGTTGTTTGGCGATAGGAGCTCGCCATGGCATATGTTCTTGATTGAATCCAGAAGACACCATGCGATACCAAGGCTGATTGTTCAAGCAACAATGGTTCCAATAAATTGAACAAGAAACATGGCTTTTGGAGGGATTTTGAAATCTCAGAGAAAAGCGACTGCTTGGGACATGCTCATGTAACCATAAAATTAGAAGCAGACGTTCGCAATTAGCTTCCCATGTAGGATTAGTCCCATTACATATCATGTGAAAAGTTTTCGGCGTCTATAACCTGCAGGGAGAGGGTTCCGACAACTAATTCCTATAGGGAGAGGAAGTTTCCTATAAGAAAGAGTTACGACGGCTAGGTCCTATAGGAAGAGGAAGTTTTCGACGTCTAGGGCCTGCAGGTGGAGAGTTTCGGCTTCTAGGGCCTGTAGAGAGAGGGTTCCAGTGGCTAGTTCCTGAAAAAAGGAGTTCAGCCAGCCCTGTAAAGAGAGGAAATTTCCGACGGTAGAAAATCTTCTTGTCCTCCGCCGGAGACTCTAGTGTTTGTTTCAAGACTCTGATATCATATTGATTTTCAAAATTCAGTGAAATAATTTTATTGATATGAAAAGCAGATATAAATACCCTTACATGAATCTTAGAATAGGAAAAATAAGAAAAATAAATAACAAGAGAGGAAAGATATAGCACCTAAATCTCCAAGTAATCAATTTATAATAATTACTTGGAGATAAAGGAAACGATATAAAATAGAAAAGCGTAAAATAAAAAGAAAATAAATCTAATCCTCTTCTAATAGGAATAAACTATTTCTTAATATTACTTCTAACACTACTCTATCCTCCAAATTACAAGCCTAGCTCCTGAGCTTTCTCGTGATGGTGCAAATCTTAACTATATCAGTTAGGCAAACCAACTATCAATAAACATATGAGAGTGCAACATGTATTTCATAACACCTAGCAAATAGGTCAAATTCATAACTCTTGCCATTAGGCTTTCCACAAATCATGAGGAAAGCTCACTTGTGAGCTTCTTTACCATCTAAGCAATAAGTCTCACTATAGGTTTCCCTTATTCTTGAGGATACAAGATTTGCTCTTAGGCTCTCTCTATGATGCAAGTATTATTTTGAATGACCAAGCTAACACACTAGTAACAAATACACTAAAACAAATCAAAATTATGCCTCCTTTCATATAAAATAGGATAATGGGACACATCGTTGCACTTTCCTCAAATTATGAATTTGAAAATCCACTTATGGGCTTTCCCGCTATTAGAGAGTTGTATGTAACACTCACATGTTTCCATCATATTAAAGTTTACTAGTCTTGTCCTATAGACATCTCTATAAGTAGAGTTTTAAGCAAGGTTTTGAAAAATGATGCAGGTATTGAACTGAGAAAAAAAAAATTCAAGGTTCAAGCAAGGGTTGACAAAATTACGTAATAAATAATAAATTATTTTAATAATGATCTAAATCATGTAATAGTGATATAATATAAATTTTTCAACAATATGATATGCAATATTCTTATTCAGTACACTTCACTCTTGCATGTTTTGAATATGATTCTAAATCAAATTTTGGGATATGATATTTAAATTTATTTTTCTTTTTTAATATAAATCATTTATTTATAGCCATTGATCCAAACTAAAAAGTATCAACATTAGATTCGGGTAGTTCCTTAAAAATCGGATCAAATCACCAATTCCCTGGTTAAAACATAAGTAAAGAACAGTTATTGTTGATTATGTCCAAAAATAATTTTGGAATTTGACCAAAATAATCAAAAGAGTGATTCATAGTTCTGCATGTCCAAATCCAAAACAAGGGTGATAAGCTCTAACCTTCAATCAAATTCAAATCCAAACATCAACACATGACCAACATAAACTCAAACAGTAACGCCCGGTATTATTTTCCTCTGTTGACGCCACCATTATATCAGAGAGTCGTATCGAGCAGAGCAATAGAGAGCGTATCGAGCAACTCTTGCAACATTTAAGAAGAAGAGGCAATAAATAGAGCAGGGACCACAGAAGAACAAAAGGAAGGAGACTCAGAGAGATCGAGAGCAGGAGGAGGAAAGAACGAGTGATACTCGCCTGCGAGGGATGAATCTGAAGGTGGTGATGTCTTCGAGCAAGATAGGGCGGCGACGGTTTGTGTTCGAAGGCTGACGTCAAGCCCAGAGTGAAGCAAACGGAGAAAGAAGACGCTCTCGGTCGAAACTCCTGCGATCCAGGGCAGAGGCTAGCGACGAGGCTATTGAAGGCTGGGACTTCTCCCGGGCGTGCGTTATCGGAGATGAGGGTGATGACGCTTGCGATCGAAGCCAAAGGATTAGTCGAGCAAACTGCAGGATCGTTGAGCAGGAATTCTTCTCTTGCGGGTTTTCGGTGGGTTTCGAAGAGTGGGAGCGAGTCGAGTTGAAGTCGGGAGAATCGAGACAATCGGGCTCACGGGTTAAATTTTTTATATATAAATAATTTTTCCTTTTCTTAATATAATTTTTGTCATAAAAATTTATAGATAAATATATAATAGTATTGATGTAAAATATAAATAATTAATATTTAATTCTAATAATTATGAAATTAATAATAGGATTATATAGTTAAAAAATAACTAAATACATAGAGCACATTTGGTTTTACTAAAAAAAATATTCAATTTTTATTGCACGATTAAATAATAATATTATTATTATTATTATGACAAAAAAATTTATATTAAAATGACAATAAGTCAATGACAACATTATTTGAATAAATAGATTAAAGAATTAGATTATATTGTTGATTTATAAAGTTAAAATAAAGGCCAATTAGTAGCAAATAGTAAGATTTAATCTTCATAAAGTAATAAAAATATTTTATATATGATTATAGGTTTTCTGTTAGAGAAAAGTCGATAAAATGGTTAAACTAGTAGATGTTTCTGAGCTCGACGTGGGTGCGGGTGGTTGAGCTAGTTGGTTGGGTTATGTTGGGTTGCAAGGGTGGGATGGTGCGGGCTGAGTCGGGTCACACAATTTTCAATTGTTCACAAAACCATTCGTGCATAATCGCACATGATAGCACCAGCATTTTCGTGGCACTTGTGTGGTTGTGAAGTTGTGAACATATTTTAAAATATTAAATTTAAGTGCCCAATTTTTTTTTGTTCCAAAAAATAGGCTTAATAGGAGGGGAGAAATCACACTTCTACTCCTCTAGTTGAAGTATCTCCTTAGCCTCTGCCTACTATTGTTCTCCCCCCCTGTTTTTTCTTAGGGAATGTTATCATCCAACATCAAAATCATTTTTAGGTTGTTGTTGTCCAAAATTTTCAGCAATTATTGTCCAACATTAGATTCCCTTTTTAGGTTATTGTTGTCTTACTTTTTGTGTTGTTGTTGCCCAACATCAAAGTCACATCTCCCAGGCCATTGTTGTGTTTTCTAGGCAATATTTCATTGGCTTAATTATTTTTTTAGGTATCAATATTTGAGGAATCTCACCCCTCTGAAAAATCACAGAAAAAATCAAAATATTGAGGAAGTGGTATCAACACTCACCAAAAATATGTCGACACTTTTCCAAAAAAAATAGTTCTATTTTTTGAATGGCATATTAGTTAAGTCATTGACTTTGTCAGATTGAGCTAGTTCTCTACCATGGGGGTAATTCACCATCCATGAGATGAGCTTACATGCGAAGCTTCGATTTCCACCAGCTCCTGAGCTAGTGAACATTTTATTAACATATGGAATTTGTCTTCCTTAGCTTTCTCGACAGACTATGATGATTATTATGAGGTTAATTGTCCTTTTTTATAGAGCATAATGCAACATTCACCCTGGTGATAGCGAAGAAGATAGGCAACCTCAATTTTTATATTCACAATTATATCACTTATAAGAGTGAATATCCAGCCTTTCAAAAAAAGGATGTCGTAAAAAATTTGTTCACTCCATTCTTCTTTTTGAAAAATTATTGGGATCTTTGCAAGTTAAATAAAAAATTGAATGAATTGAATGAACTACCATTCCTCCTTATGTTGTGGAAAAGGACTACTAAAGATTCTCATATTTTGAAGTATCAAAGGATTTATTGTGAGGTATAATAACCCAACAAATATGTGATCGAAGAATCTTTTTGTAAGATTGACCTCTTCATTCCTACCAGCGACTCTCACTCCTTGATGTTGAATGAGTTCGAACAAGTAAAATAGAAAATTTAGCAAAGTGCCACAAATTTCTCCAACAAATCATTTGAATATTCATATTTTCAAGGAAGTGTTGAATCACACATGATCAGGACTTTCACAAGCTAAGGAATATGCAATAATCTCTAACCTTCTTTAACTTTATATTCGATTTTTTTTTCATGTCTGGCATATAGTTAACCTCTTTAGTTAATGAAGGATATATATTTAGTTCTCGAGTTGGACCTTTTCTTAAAGGCATGGAACTCCTGAAGATCAAATATCTTCTATGAGAGTATAAACATATGTATAATTTCAGTGCAAAATAAAAAGTCATCTTGGGAGATTAGCTTACATTGTGTGAGATTGAATTATCCACCATGATGATTTTTTTCTCCCTGCAAAGTCGAGAGGTGAAGAATACTCAAGAAGAACTGATGGAAACACAAGCCAATCTTAACCAAAATACTAATACTTTGAGGATTTTTTTAGCAAGATGTTGGCCCTTGAAGAGAATAACAAAAAGTGACAAACTCGATGTGCAGAAAATAAAATTCCATCTAGGTTTCTAGAAAGAGGTTCATCTGATGTACCATTTGATTGGAGTCGACATCAAGGAACCATCTCCTAGCCCAACATCTAGGGATCCTCAATCTCTATTGGAAAGAGGAGAAATTGAAAGTGACTTGTAGGAGCATGTTTGTAATGTGAGGAAGGAAGATATTGATGTATATTAGTATTTTATTTCAGCTGACTTGTCATAGCTTTTGTACCTTATGGTTGTATGTTTGTCTTTATTGTTTTTCATTTGCTTAATGTAGGATATTCTTCTGATAATGTGTTTATCTGTAAAGCTCTTTGTTTTCTTGGTGTGAGAATGTTGATTTCTTATAACTTCCCCTGAGAGGATATAAAGTATTTATAAGTCTTGATATGAATCCAATATATTCTAATTAAGATATTACCCTTGGTAGGAGCATAGTGACATGTCGGCACTATTTTTGGTGTGGGGTTTGCCCGTAAGAAGCTATCGGTCATCGGAATTGAAATCTCGTTGCCCGCCTCGGAAGGACATTTTTTTAAAAAAAAAATTAATTTTGAAAAAGATGAAGTCAAACTGACCCCATAATTTTCATAGTTTAGATGAAAGAGCCAAATCCTGTATTTATCCCGAAGGATGAACACAAGAATTGAGGGTGA